TTCATGGAAGTCGAGAGAGATGAGGAGATGCAGGTTTTGTTGAGGAAGGAGATGCAGGTTTTGGTTTTTGTTCTTGGTTTTTGATTTTGGGTTTTTTGTTCATGGAAGTCGAGAGAGATGAGGAGATGCAGGTTTTGTTGAGGAAGGAGATGCAGGTTTTGGTTTTTGTTCTTGGTTTTTGATTTGGTTTTTGGATTTTTTGTTCATGGAAGTCGAGAGAGATGAGGAGATGCAGGTTTTGTTGAGGAAGGAGATGCAGGTTTTGGTTTTTGTTCTTGGTTTTTGATTTTGGTTTTTGAGTTTTTTGTTCATGGAAGTCGAGAGAGATAAGGAGAGAAGCAACAATGCGTAGTTCAAACTCAAGGGGTAAATTGGTCATTTMTGTTATTCAGACTGTTGATTCAGATAKAATAGTAAACAACAACATAAATTTATCCAGACAGACAAATTTATCCAGACAGACAAATTTATCCATACAGGACTTAATAGAAAATTTGGTAAACAGCCCCTAAAATCGATATGTATCTCGCTGCATTATGCGAGTACCTTTATAGTATTATTTAACTCATAAAATAACTTTTGATAGAATAACGCTTTGTTTACCAAAACAACACCACACTTGTCAATTCTGATGATGCGTTTGGTTTGCAGGAATGTTTCTGAGTATAATCCATTTTTATAACTTGTTGCAAATATTCTATCTCAAATACAAATCATGTCACGTGTTGATTCTTATGAACACGCTTCTTCGAGATCTTAAGCATCAGATTTTCCGAGACAACTTCTATTTCTTCAGTTACCTTGACACGCTTTTTAATGCACTTTTTTATTAACCTGATATCCAACTCGTTATGCGAGCCTACTAATCGTAGGACGACCACCTGCTTTGCAGATAGCCTGGAGTCACCGCATTTGAACCTCCGTGGTCACAAGAGAATTTTTATTTCTCCTTGGATTTGAACCTGAGACCTCCTGGTACTTTTCACTTTTGAAACCAAACTCAAACCAATCAGACACTACCCTTGTGGTTCAGTGCATTCTTTATGAATTTAGCGGCGTGAAGTATACCTAATACCGTCCGCCCCCACTAATAAATACGATCACAATAATCATTAGATGCATTAATCCACAAAACTATATCTTAGGGGTTGTTTACTAAACGCTTACCTGGTAAGTGCTTATCGAGTAAATTTTTTTATCTGATGAACATGACAAGGGTCAAAAATCTTACCCGATAAGAGCAATGATAAAGATGGAGAGTCTTGCTCGGTAAGTGAGGGTGACAACCCTTACCCAGATAAATGCTTACCAGGTAAATTGTTGCATTCGCTACCATTTTAATGTATTTCAATCTTACATAGTAAAATAAATTACAGTGTTCACTCTTAACAATAAATGTTTACTGGGTAAGCATTTAGGTAAACGGCCCCTTAATCCTTTTATCATCAAAATAACCAAGATTATAAATTATATATTTTAAATAAAAACATTTACAGCGAAAGCTGATTCATTCCTTTGGTGCGCTACTGCTACATCTGAAACAAATGCACATGACACGATAACTAGTTGCAAACAAACATAAAATTAAACCAAGATCCCACGCAAAATGATACATCCCACTGCGGACGTCCGTCATGTATCTAAAAATATCACACTTCATGTCCCCTTTCCGGAAGCACGTTTTCGATATCAATTCGTCGAGAGCTCCTTGGTGTGGTAGCGTTATAGCACAAACACCTCGTTTAAGTCAAACACTTTGGACGACGATATTAGGGGTTCCTGGAAGATTAACAACATTCCCAGCATACATAGAACCCGTCAGATTACTTTCCAAAAGAGTCCTCAAGAAATTAATGTGAACATATATCGCGGAAAAGTAGTCAAAAGTCTAGCTGATATAAGACTCTTACAAACATGAGTGAATATATGTTCTCCCCAAATTCCTGTCCTCCAATCACGTAAAGCCACATCATTGATTTACGGAGGAAGGAGAATGAAAAGATGAATAAAATAAAACAAATGACGTGTCTTCAAGTAATTGACAGAGATCGACACTACAACAAAATTGGGTTTATATGACACTTTCAATTTTTAAGCGTCCTAATAAATCTCTTTATAAGACTTATTTTATAGGACCAAAAAAATAAAGTATCATATCTAAAGGCGTTGTAATAAGTTTATATGACGTTTTTTGATGTCGTAATAAGTTTTTTTAGGACACTTTTAATATAAAACGTCCCATTAACAACTTTATAAGACACTATTTGGAAAACTGTCCTATAAAAACAAGTGTCCTACGAAAAAAATGAGTTTATAGGACACTTTCTCAAAAGTTTCCTATAAAGTTGCTAATGTGACACTTTATATTAAAAATATCCTAAAAAACTTGGTTAAGACTCCCAAAAGCGTCATATAAACATATTACAACACCTTTAGATATGACGCTTTATATTTTAGTCCTATAAAACGGTCTATTGGGACGCTTAGAGATTAGGGATGTCCTATAAACTCAATTTTGTTGTAGCGAGGGAATTTGAGGACAACTTATTTTTATTCCAACAGACTGCCCCATTCAAGCTAGTAAATGCGATCGACACGATTAGTTGATCGATGAGTTGGGATCAAGCGATAAGAAGTCGAAAACCGAGGCTAACCTGTTGTCGTTCGCGGTGACAGAGTCTCCGGAGACAGAACCGTGTAGCCTTAGCTGCCAAAATGTCTTTATGCATCGAAGCCAAAAGACTAGCATAAGTCACTCGTCTGTTCCCCTCAACTGCTTTCCTAAGAGTGTAAGTCATTGCACCTTCCATTTGCTTTGAGAAAGCCTGCATATATCTTACAACTTACTTTCGCAACCGAAAATCGAAATCGAAATCAAAATCGGTAATAAAAAGCCGAAGATTTACTCACGGATGTATCCGCTGCAAGTTGATTATCTTCACAAGCGCTTATAGAAATGGCGTGCCCGCCACTAGTACCTTTGTAAACACCCGACGGTGGGCTGTTATCTGACCATTCGTTCCTGCCAATGAGCGGAAATTGTGAGTATATCTGGAACCCTTTTGAATATCTTTTTACATATGACGCACAGTAATTCTGTCGTACAAGCATAAGTCTTGTAAAGTAGTCAGTTAAGACGTTTGGATATATCTGGTGTCCTATAAAAACCGATGTTTTGTAGTGAACCCCTTTGAATCTTTCTCTAAACATTCTGATGTGACAAAATATGGTTAACGAGGCGTACTTTTTTGTGTTAAAGACTAATGGTAGATCGAGAATCGTTCCACTGTGACAAGCATCGATGATGGCGTGCAGTTTGACGCCTTTCACGAGCGGTCTAACAATGGTTTCGTTGATTTCATTATCAATGATCATTCCCGCCGTTTTGAAATCTAGAGGACATATCGTTTCGTCGAACCCATCACGCTCATCGTCAAAGAAATCAGGCTGCCTTAAGCCATGCCCTGAAAAATAGAACACCAGTGAGTCCCCTTTCTGGTTGTCCTTCACCAACCATCGTAACGCTTCTTGGATGTTCCGTTTCGTTGGAAGCAGGTGCGAGTCCGTTTCTGCAAGTTCTCTCGCTATGTCAATGGAAATTATAGAACGAAATCCTTACTAACCATAATGAAAACAAGCAGTTGTTCTGTAAGGGTGTGTTTGGTACTCAGACTGGATGGGACTAGACGGTGTCTTGTTCTGTCATGTCCTGTCCTGTCATGTTCCGTTTCGTTCCGTTCTGCATACCAAATGCACCCTAACTTATACTAATCCGTATGAGTTCTGTACGGAAATTGGATGGGACTGGACTGAGTTCTGTCTGGAACTCAATCCAGTCCCATCCCCTGTGTACTAAGCTGATGCAGATTCTAACAAAATGATTCGAAATACCTGCAAGAGTGCGTATCGACGTGCTAGGAAACTGAAAGCGCGAAATTAGCAATTCCCGCATGCTATTCACATCATAGTTAGTTCCCTTAAGTTTATACTTTTGCTTATTATATGTTACGCCACAAAGAAGCGCGCGTTTCCCTTTTGTCGGTTCCCAGTTCCGTATCATCTCGATCGCTAACTTCTCGTAGCTACTAAAATAATTAGGATCCGGTAGCTGTCGTCGCTGCCACATCTTTTTAAAGCGGATATTCAATCCCTTCGTATCGCAGACCAACTTACCACGATCTCGACTCGATTGTACCGGTGTTTCTCCATCAACCCAAAAGACATCTCGACAATCCGGGCAGCAGATAGGTTGATCTTCCGGCGACACCGAGCTGAGATCACTGCATTTGGCAACGTTATCTAATGACGACATGTAGCTGAACTAGTCGTAATCGAAGAAAATAATGGTTCAGAGATTGTAAAACCGACGTACTTATATAACGGTTCAGATACTGCTTTCGAGTGGGATATACTGTGTTTTAAAAAAAAGGAGTTTGCAGTCTTGAAGGGAATATGATGCGCCTAACATATGTTTCTGTTCTTTTTTCTACTTTAATGGAGGATCAGATTCTTTTTGAAATATATTTCTCATGTTTAAGGTGCAACTAGGAAGGAGACGGGAACGATCGAGGGGCCCGACCGGGTCAAGTCGAGTGCGGTACAATCGTAAAATGTGTGTCGATCGATGCTGTTTTTATTGGAGCTTTTGGGATTCTCGTTTCTGCCCCTTGGCCGTCTTTTACGCGTCTACGGCTGTTGTTTTTTTGATTTGTGTAAAGTTGTATCGTATATGGTGCGTGGTTGGAAAGTACGATAACTTAGGAATGTGATTTTTTGGTAACTTGTTCGACCGTTGTTTTTATTCTTGCAGCACGACGATTATAGAACATCGAGTAAACCAAACCAAACTAAACATACTGAGTTAGAAATAGAATCTGATTTAGATGTTGGATTGTACGTATACGTGTTCTTATTGACAGTCGTACCTATGGGTGTTCTGATGTATGATATGGAACGGGCCCCTAAATTTTTTTGGTACAATTATACGTGTTTTACCTTTACACCAGTTAGGGCTGTAAACGAACCGAACGTTCAACGAACCGTTCGTGAACCGTTCGGCGGGAAGTTCGTTTATGTTCGTTTATTTAATAAATGAAAGAACATGAACAAATTTTTTTGTTTGTTTAGTTAAATGAACGAACATGAACAAAAGTCATGTTCGTGAACGTTCGTTTGTTTACCATTCGTTTATATTCGTTCATTTATATACTAAAATTAATATATAATCTTTTGTTTATTTACTTTGAATTCAAATAATATTTATTTATGTTTGTTTAGTCCGTTCGTTTATGTTCGTTCGTTTACATTCGTTTAGCATGTTAACGAACGAACATAAACGAACACGAACACGAACACACCTGATTTCTAAACAAACGAACACGAACACAAAGATTTTCGTTCGTTTTCTGTTCTTGTTCATTCGTTTGTTCGGTTAAGTTAAACAAACAAACATGAACAAGCATCCGTTCGTGTTTGTTTGGTTCGTTTACAGCCCTAACTCCAGTTATATATGTTTTAACCTGGTTATAATGTTTTAGGATTTTTCTGTTTTAGCTGGTTTGACGATTTCCAATTCCAATAGTCGAACAGTGATTCTATTTAAATGAGTTTTATATGTTACATTATTATAGGTGTAACAGATCTCCAAAAAATTGGGAACGACCCTGTTTTTATCTAGAATGATTGTTAGGACGACCAAAATGAATCTCAGATATAGTTGAACACACAAACAATTAAACAATTTATAGAGACATATATTCTGACAGGGGTGTATCTATGTATGTCCGAGTAGGCTCCCGTACACGCACTCTAACTTATTTTCACAAGTAAGATTTGTTTTGGAGGGGAGTGTTGGCGACATTTAAGTGGGGCCATGCTTAGCCTCCAAAATTGTCAGGGATTAGTCGGGCTTTGGCCCGGACACCCTTACAAAAAAAGATTTGTTTTGGAGGTATGAAAAGTACACCCACTAAACTTTGAGTTCTGGAATATTAGAAAATATAAGGAACATAACTAATACAGGTATTTAATTCGCCTTGAAAGTACACCCGCTTGACGGGAAAAAAATCATGTGTCTGTACTGCATACATGTGTAATAACAATATAAGTGGGTAGATAGCAGATACACCATATATATGGAATTTTATCATCGGTGACGGTGTGATATTATACTTTCATTATCGAATAGAATCAAAATTCGTGTTAAATACCATCTTTTTTCCGGCTCTCTTTGTTCAAAACGTAAAAGCTAAAAACAAAGACATAAAATAAAGAGTAAAGTTCACTTTTGGTTATTAGTGTCTGTCATTTTCAACGGTTTTCGTCTCTCGACTTTATTTTAACAGATTTGTTCCTTACGGTTGTCGATCCTCAACGGATTTCGTCCCAACGAAAAAGTTAACGGGCGTTAGAAGGAGGGACGGAATCCGTCAGGGATCGACAGCCGTGAGGGACAAATATATTAAAATAAAATTGAGGGACGAAAACCGTTGAAATTGACAAACGTTGAGAACCAAAAGTGAACTTTAGTATTTGTAATGATTATATTCTTGAATAATTTTTTGGAACAATTAAGTCCTTAAACATTCCAAAGCCTGTTATATAACTTCTTTGACTTTCTAAAACCTGTTAAATATATTATTATGACCTATGCAATTGATTAATATAATAAAATAATGTAAAATGTCTAGAAAAAAACCAATGAATTTTTATATTTAAACGAAACAAATTTTTGAACTAAAAAAATATTTACATCTATGCCAAAAAAGTACTTACATTTAGAAAGAAAAAATTACATTTACAAAAAAAAATTTACATTTAAAAAAGATTATTAATAAAATATATTTTATGAGTAATTTTTCAAATTAAAAAAATAAAAAAGGATTTAAAAAGAATTATTAATTAAATTTATTTTAATTTAAAAATAAAATATATTATGTATGTGATTTTTTAAAATAAAAAAAATTAAAAATAATTGTTGATAAAATTTATTTTAATTAAAAATAAAATATATTTCTTTGGTGATTTTTAATTTAAAAAAATAGAAAATAATTTAATTAAATTACTGATAGATTAACGATAAAATTTAACTAAATATATAATTAATTAAAATTTGTCAGTAATCCGTTAGTGAAATGATATCACGGACAAGATTCAAGCACAATCTTTCACACGTTTAACACGTTACTGTGTTAGAGTGTCTGTTGGTAGTCAAGTTAGCCATCAATTAGATATAAGTACGAATTTTAATTAATTGTGTATTTAGTTAAATTTTATCATTAATCGATCAGTAATTTAATCAAATTATTTATAATCCTTTTAATTTGAAAAATCAC